GGCGGGGCCCGACAGTCGTCCCTATCCAGGTCCTTTGTGTCTCCTGCCCGGCGGGAGCCCCAGGCTCATCCTCTTAGGCTACCACTAGGCCGGGCAGGTCCTTTGGGCTCCCAGGGACCTGGGGGCCGGGGCGGCCTAGGACCATGGGAAAAGCCACCGGTGGGGAACCCTGCCTGGGTCCTCCCTGCCAGGATCCCGATTTGCCCGGTTCCTCCCCAGGCTGAGCTGAGCCATGTGACCTGGGCTCTCCCACTGCAGGTGGACATTCTTTTGGTTTTCAGGACTTCCATGTTTATTTGTCACCCACTGGAGAGGGACAGTGGGAGGGCAGTGACAACAGCAGACTCTCGTCTGCTGAGCCCCCACCACCCTACCTCCTGTGGACTAGGATGAAAACAGGAGGGAGGGGCACAGGTGTTGCCCAACCTGTTGTCTGGGTTCTTTGCAGACAACAGGTTGAGGTGCCGGAACGGAACATTTACTGATATTTCTAAGAAACGGCCTTGTGTTTTGAAACCAACTCTGAAGAGAGCCAAATAGTCATTTTATTTTTTTATTTTTGTTTTTGTTTTTATTTTTGAGTTAGGAGTCTCACTGTCACCAGGCTGGAGTGCAGTGACATGCTCACAGCCGCCATAGCCTCGACCTGCTGGGCTCAGGCGATCCTTCCATCTCAGCTTTCCAAGTAGCTGGAACTACAGGCTTGCACCGCCATACCTGGATAATTTTATTGATTGATTGATTGTAGAGATGAGGTCTTGCCAAGTTGCCCAGGCCGGTCTCGGACCCCTGAGCTCAGGCCATCTTCTCGCCTCCACCTCCCGAAGTGCTGGGATTACAGGAATGATCCACCATGCCCCGCTCAAAGAATCTCTTTCTTCCTTCCTTCTTTCCTTCCTCCTTCCTTTCTATTTTTGAGTCAGAGTCTCACTCTGTCACCCGGGCTGGAGTGCAGTGGCACACTCACAGCCACTGTAGCCTTGATCCTTCCACCTCAGCCTTCCAAGTAGCTGGAACCACAGGCATGCACCACCCTACCCGGTTAATTTTTTGATTTATTGTTGAGACGTGGTCTCTCCATGTTGCTCAGGCTAGTCTCAAACCCCTGAACTCAGGCAATCCTCTTGCCTCCACCTCCCAAAATGCTGGGATTATAGGTGTGAGCCACTGCGCCCGGCTCAAAGATTCACTTTAGGAGGAAAAGCAGTGGCAGGGCCCCGCCTGGGTGCTGGGAGGCACAGGGCCATCCTGTGTTCTCGCCCACACTCCATCATGGGGGAATTGTATTAGGATATTATCACTGAGGGGAAAAGAACCAGCAGCGAGCCAGTGCTCCTCTTTGTCATAGGGCCATGTCTCATGTTAGGTTGTTTTATTTTATTTTATTGAGTCAGGGTCTCACTCTGCCGCCCAGGCTGGAGTGCAGTGGCATGATCATGGCTTATCCCAGCCTCTATCTCCTGGGCACAGTCGATCCTTCTACCTTAGCCTCCCGAATAGCTGGGACTACAGGCATGCGCCACCACATCTGACTCATTTTTTTATTATTTTGTAGAGACGAGGTCTTGCAATGTTGCCCAGGCTGGTCTCCAACTCCTGGGCTCAAGCGATCCTCCCGCCTCGGCCTCCCGAAGTGGCTGGGAATATAGACATGAGCCACCATACCCAGCCTGTTTTTCAATGGGGGAAGTGCTTTGCAAGATGTCTGGGATGAGGATTTGGGTCCAAGAGCTCAATTCCAAGATTGTTATTACTAATCCGAAATGTAAGCATCAATGTTGGCTCACAATTTTAGAAAACGTCAGAATCTGGATACTGGTTCTTCTGGAACGTGAGATGATGGACGATTTTCGTCTTAGTATATGTTGGTGTTTATATTTGCTGAGCCTGTTTCACTCCTGGAAGGAACCCTTCTGCTTCATGGGACTTAGACTTTAGGTGGGGAAACAGGACTTAGTCAAATCAGCATATTGATAAATTTCTAACTGTAAAAGGGCTCTGTAGGTATGTGAGTGGGGGCGGGCTTCCCTGGAAAAGTGAGTTTGAGTTAAAGATGAACAGACTTAACAAGGCTAAAGCAGGTGGGGATGAGTGGTGGAGAGAGCCTTCCAGACAGGGAACAGCCTGTGTCAAGGCCCTGTGTTGGAAGAGTGTGGTGCCATTGAGAAAGTGTGAGGTCAGTGTGGCTGAAAGGTACACAGCAGCGTGGAAGAGCCTGGGAGGTGGGCAGAGCCAGACTATATTGGGTACTTGTAAACCATGTTAAGAAGCTTGCTTTTTTTTTTTCTAGGAGCAGAGGGAAGGCATTTAGAGTCTGGGAGAGTGATCAGATCTGTGCTTTTAAAATTCCTTCTGGAACCAGACACAGTGATTCACGCCTGTAATCCCAGCACTTTGGGAGGCAGAGGCGAGAGTACTGCCTGAGCCCAGGGGTTTGAGACCAGCCTGAGCAACTTGGTGAGACATCATCTCCACAATAAATTAAAAAACAAAAATAGCCGGACATGGTGATGCACTTGTGGTTCCAGCTACTTGGTAGGCTGAAGTGGAAGGGTTGCCTGAGCCCAGCAGGTCAAGGTTGCAGTGGCCATGAGTGTGCCAGTATACTCTAGCCTGG